ACAAAGCGCTTGAAATGACAAGCTAAAATTGGTAACCTACCTTAGGCATCGCATAGAAATTTTCATCATTAGTTGGGTGGGGTAGGAATAGTGCTGTCAAATGCTGTACATGACTCCCTGATATTTGGGACTGGATCGCGTAATGGTGGATTTACTTGAGAAGTCTGTAGTAAATACCATTTTTAACACCAGCAGACTCTCCCTATGCCTAAAGAAGGGTGTTTGTGCCCAAAAGCTTGCAAAGAGCAAATTTTCCAACTATTTAGCTGGTCTAATAAAAGATACCACATCTACCGAAAGAACCTCGTCTTTCATTGTGTATGCATTCATACCATTTTTGCTGGCTTAGCTGTATCTCTCAGCCAGCGCTCTGAATCTTTTAGTTGCTCTTCTGATTATTTTTTATCATTAGCTCCAAACATTGTTTGATACAAAACTGCCGAAGTCGTAGGTTCTCTTAACTGTTGTGACTAAACTGGGAGTCTAACAGCTGTAATGAGACTGTCAAATGACATCTCGTGTTGACATGTTGTTCTGTGAAAGACATACCTCTCAAGACTTCTTTTGTTGCGTTGGTTGATAGGTATCAGACTTGTGCATTAACACCTCTAGCTTATCTTTATCTATTGTCTGTTTAGTTACCACTTGCTCTTGTCTCTGCCATTGGAAGATACATAGCTACGTTTTTGTCAGACTTTCCAAATGAACCAACTGTGTATGGTATACATCTCTGTTAAAAAGTTGCATTGTTTTTTCCAGTTATTGTCCATATTTCCTGCCATTTCCAGAAAAACAGTAGAACAGTAATTGTGATAGCTTGCATGATACCGCATCACGGAAACCTCATCTTTTTTCATATATTGTATATTTGGTTGCTGTTCTATAATTTGACTTTGGACTGAAATCTCTTGTGCCACAATCCAAAATCCCTCCACAGCCATGTCAGTCCCAGCAACCACATGCATATGGGTTTGACCTTTATTCATCAGGAAGGAGATCCATTGTAGCAGCTCTTTACTGCAGTAGCTCTTTGCAATATGCTGCAACAGTATGTAGCTGTAATACATCTTGTGACATAATGCATATGATTACAGGAGGCCACAGAGCATTTTGGGTTCACTACGAGTGTCCTTTAAAAGCTCTGCTTTGTTGCCCTTTTTTCAAGGGCAACTTTTGGCAAATAAATGTCAAACTCTTAAAAAGAGCAAGCGGAAAATTAGATTTTCCATCCTGGGGGAAATTCTGATATTTTGACATCTGTTTTCATTCAGATTCATGATAAAAAAGAGAATATCAAAATATATGGTAGAAAGTTCTGCAAAAAAAGTATCAGGAAATGCTGAAACATTGTTTTTCAACTCTATTTGACATTAGCCTATGTCCCCCTCACAGTGTTTCAGGAGAGTTATGGTCCTGGTGCTTATTAGGCCTGTGCAAAGTGGCTAGTATTCTCTTCAAATTTGGCCGATTCGGGGGACAGTGATTCAATTCAGTGATTCGAATCGCTGTCCTGAATCAATCTGGCCGAATTTGATTCGTAGATTCGGCCACAGCCGAATTAGCTGAATCTCCAAATCACACAGGCCCCATCACCCACCTGCTCTCAATGGCTGCCCCACCAGCCCCAGCTCCCGGCACTTTGAGGAAAAAAAAAAAGCCCCCACTCACTGGCTGCTGCCAGGTGGGGGGGCAATCCCTGCTGCCCTTCAGTGCCCTGTGCCACATGGGGGGCTCTGCCATGAGTCCCTTGACCATACTCCACGCTGCATGGGGGGCTCTTCCACAAGCCCCCTGAAGCCCCAAGGCTGCTGCAGCAGGAGCCAGTGATCCCGGGTTTTGTTTTTTTTTAAAGGGCTGGAAGCTGGGGTGGGCAGGGCAGCTATGGGGGGGCTCGGGGCAGAGCCCCCCCATGTGGTGTGGGGCAGTAGGGGACAACAGAGATCACCCTGCCTGGCAGCACCTGGCTTTTAAAAAAAAAATGGGCAAGCCCCCTGAAGCCCCAAGGCTGCTGCAGCAGGAGCCAGTGATCCCGGGTTTTGTTTTTTTTTAAAGGGCTGGAAGCTGGGGTGGGCAGGGCAGCTATGGGGGGGCTCGGGGCAGAGCCCCCCCATGTGGTGTGGGGCAGTAGGGGACAACAGAGATCACCCTGCCTGGCAGCACCTGGCTTTTAAAAAAAAAATGGGAGCTGGGGCAGGTGGGGCAGCCATGGAGAGGGGCTGGGAGAGCAGGCAGGGATCAGGGGGGGTTTGGGGGGGCTGGGGGAGCAGGCAGGGGATGGGGCCTGGTAGGGGTACCCTAGGGGTCCCCTCCCTTGTCTTCCAGCCCCCCCGTCCCCTGCCCCCTAGTTACCAGCATGGAGTCCAGGTCCAGCTCCTTGCTGCAGCCACCAGGGACTGCCCAAATCGCCGAAGCTCTCCAAAACTTTGCTGAATCAATTCAGAGAGCTTTGAATCAATTTGGGCCTTTTAATTGGTCTTCTGATTCAGATTCAGAGATTCAGCCACAGAATCGGGCTGAATCGAATCAGCACCCAAAGCTTCACACAGCCCTAGTGCCTATGGCCCTGGTGCCTAGGGCTCTCTAGCTGTCTCCTGTAATGCACCACAATCATATGGTTCCCAGCATGCACTGGAGTACTTCAGTTAGAGGGTAGAGTGCAGTACACCATGACAGATGTAGTCCTGCCTATAGAGGAGAATTAGGTAGTTTGAGTGCCCCAAGCCAGGTGAAGCAGGAGGTCTGGCAAAAAGGACTGATGCTGAAGCAAGTCAATATTCAGCATTTTAATTTGGTTTGAAAAAATATAAATAATTTAGGTCTAGAGTGGTGTCACCCAGGGCAAACCCTTTTGTTTCAATGTTCCTAATAGAAAATTAACACAAAATAGTAAAATTGAAATTCTCCCATAGGAAAATTTGAGTTTGCAATAACTTAATTTTTCATCGAGAAAAAAAGTAGAAAATCCCCACATGATTTCATTCTTCAGAACTAAAAGAAAGGTTTGCCAGAATGTTACTCACCTGATGATTAGAAAAAGGCACTTGCGAGTAAGGTTTTGAAACAGCCTTCCAGTAGTAGGAGTATTGGGCAAATAAATCAAACCACTTAGATAAATGTTGCGGCACTGCAGAGAACTGGAATGGATGACCTAAGAGGCCTATGTCCAGTGTTTTGGAGTTCCCGAGGAAGAAGTCTTCAGTTCAAAACTGAATATATTTCTTTTTATGCTGTGGCACAGACAGGAGTTATGGGCTTGGTGCAGGAATTGCTGGGTGAGGTTGTCTAATAAAGCAGAAGGTCAGACTAGATTATCATAATTATTCTTTCTAGCCTTAAACTATCTGAATTTATTTTAAAAAAAAGGTACCATCATACTTGTAGAGAATATCCATATGTAAAACCTCCTCTCAGGTTGTAATGTCAGGGCAGCCTTCTCACACTGCTACTGAAACGCAAAGCACCTTGGACTTAAACTTTGACTTGATTTTCAAAAATGCCAAGCTCAGTTCACCCACAGTCTCTAATAGGATTCCTCAGTGCTCAGCACCTCTGCAATCAGGCCATGACTGACAAACGAGTTTGCTCTCTCTGCTATTTAGGCCATCACCATACTAGGTGGCTGTTTTATTTAGGGTTCTCCACACATGGGAATGAAGGGGTTTGAAATGCATAATCCTATATTGCAAAGTAGCCTCATGGACTATGTACAGACGTTGCACCTATCGTGCTTTAAGCATGCAGAAACCACCCTAAAGCCATAAGTGAACAGAAGTT